TGTTGCTATTGTCTATATTCAAGGACAAGAATAAAGAAATGGTCATGGCTATAATATTTATTATTTTGCCTATGATGAGGTTAGCCACATGTATTTACGTTATTGGCATTTCCTAATTTGATATCCTCCATTTCCTAGATAGAGATTTTGGCATCAACAACATACTATTGATGCTACTTTAGTAAAAGGTCTTAACACTGAGATTATTTTAGGAAATAAAGAGTCATGTAAATAATAGAGAGACCTTGCATGAATAAATTAGTGACCCTTCCATCCTTTTTTCAAGAATACTATAAAAATATTCATTTAACACTAATTCATCCAATGTTTATGTTTCAAGTTTAGTTTTATAACAAAAAGTCCCTTGTTATCTTTTTTGTATTAGTTGATATAGGTTTTAATTTATTTTCTATTGCTCAATTTGTTATAATAGATTGTTATTTACATTTATGTCATGCAATAGAGCTAATCTTCATTCTTTATGACAATGATTGTGTACATATATATATGCACAAAATGAGGTGGATTTAGATGTATATATAGGTGATCTCAAGGTTGAGCTCCAATCATTATAGGTGGTGTCAAGTTAAATTTTTGACTTCATACTTAATATAAATCAATTGTAACACAATTATGCCAAGTATGAATTTGAAGTTTTTCCTGATTATCTTATATTCTTATATCTTTTATTCCTCTCACTTTTGTTCCACCTTAACTTTCATCACTTTTATCTCTCTACCTTTTTATTCATCTTTTCCCTTTCCAAATCCTTTAGATAGTCTTTATGCTACAGTGGTGGACTGGCTCAAGCAAGAATGTATTGATTTCTTCAACTTTAACCTATCGTTTGAAATTAAAATTGCAATGTATCATTCTATTCTGCTCATTTGATCAAGGTTGTTATTTAGTGTTAGTGAGTGAGACTTGGTGTCTCACTTCTAAAAACTTAGGTGTTTCCAAATTATCATTTTTAATGCACTACCTGAATCCTGTCACTTGGTTGAGCCTACAAAGATCCAATTTCAAACATTGCCTTCTTTACATGTCATTCCATCTGCCCAAGATGCTTAGGTCACCTATATATCCACTCCTTCCTCTTTACAGCTGTTGACATGTCATACTCCTCTTGCCACATCTGTGCCTACTACTGCACTTCCTACCATGAGCCCTTCTAGTGACAATTAACAACCTTACTCCTCTCCCTTCTCTAGAGTGAGATAATTTAGCTTTGCTCTTGCCTTTTTCAAGCGTGCTTAAGGCAATTGGAACCTAGTATGTGAATCTTTTCTATTTTACCCAGTTTGCTGCTCATGAGTAAGATTTTCTTTGTGAGAGCCAACTAATGCAAAGGCCAAGCATTCTTGCATCTCCAACTCTCACAACTTCTAGATTTTCAAGAGCAAGTTATTGACTCACTACTCCACAAGTACATAAGCCCACGACCATTGGGAGGGTACTTGTACTCAAACCATATAAGAGATTATAGCATAGGGAAATAAAGAGTTCCAATGTTCTAAAGGGAATGAGACTTAGTGTCTTACTTTTAAAGTTTCCTAGTTTTTATTTTCGTTGCTAATCTATGCTGTAGTCTCTCATGGTTTGCATACAAGTGCCCTCCCAAATTCAGGAATGATCATCTATGATCATATATAACCCACCCTCTGATCACCATGGTTTTTGTCATAAGTCTCCCTTTAGAAGGTCCTTTAGGATTTGCCACCACATGTTAAATATTATTCTTGCCCTACTAGAATGGAGCTACATTTTGTTATCTTATCATCTTAACTTGGTGCCTAACACTAGAATGGATCACCTTTGTAGTGAAATCAAAATAGTCAAGTTTGACGTGGGAAGCTAAAAGTTTCACAAAGTTTCTCACCTGCAAAGCCAGGAGCAAGATGTGAAGACTGACTTTGTGGCCAAGAATTGTTGCAGGATACCAATGCAAATTGATCCATCAGCGTGGAGGTTGCATTGCGAGATCTTCTTCATTTGGACAAACTGGCTGCTGCAAATCCACTACACAATGCTTGTAAAAAGCAGACTGAATGAACAGGGAAAAATGAAAATCGAAGAAAGTCCATATTCCTCACACGCAAAGACTTGGCTACCCTGGCTGCTCGTGGCGCTTAGCTTCTTCGTTGCATCGCAAAAGAACAGAGGGCAAGAAAATAATATTCCCGTTGCGAAGGTAGAATATTCTATCTTGACCTAAAGCTCACGGGCGAGCTAATCTTGGTGGGCGCGAGCTAGGCGGCAGCGCCTGGGCGCGAAGAATGTGACTGAATTTCGCGAGGGAGGGGGAGAAACCATGGCACAGGTGAGGCGCTCCAAGCGGCAGAGAGTGGCGGTGGATTACGCGCGCCTGGACGAGACGGGCTTCGACGATTGCACCAGGGTTCAGTACAGGAAGCTGTCGCGGGCGGTGGCCAAGTGGGACGATGCTTCTCAAGGCGAGGCCGAGATCGGCAGCCAGGGAGGCGGAGGAGGAGGCGGAGGCGGAGGGGGCCAGACTCTCGCAGCCACCGCCGTGCCCGTCGTGGAGGCCAAGGATTTGTCACACTATGTGCACTCCACGGGCTTTAAGAACCCGTGTGTCGTGAGAGCTGTGGACGATGGTGCCTCTGCTCTTGGGCTAAGGTATGGATGCTTTCTTTTTCTTTGTTCTCGCTTACTTTTGCTAAATTCTTTTATCTCTTTCGCATTCCTGGTTGTTCTAGGCTCCCGGAGACACAATTGACTGTCGAGGATTTGGCTAAGCTGGTTGGCTTCGACCGGCAGATCGAAACTATAGATGTTACCACACAGGTATTTTTTTTCTGCTTATCGTTCTTCTCACTTCTTCTTTGGGAATCAGGCTGAAGGTCCCGTGTATGCTATGGAGGATTGGGTGTCGTATTTCTCGTCGCCAAATCCAAAGAAGCCTTTACTAAACGTTGTGTCACTGGATCTGGCGAACACTCCGCTCCAGAAAATGGTGAGGCCGTAAATTCCCTCACCTTGAGCTCAAAAGTCATTATTTTTTCAGAAGGATAACACGGCATGTTCCTGTATAGGTCAGTGCGCCTTCCTTAGTGAAAGAGCTGGACCTTGTGGAGAAGGCGTGGCCTCGTAACCAGAGTACCACCATTCCAGAGGTTTGCGACTTCGTCACTGTACGCATGGCTTTACTCAAACGTAGTCTACAAATAGGTCCAGCTCTATGCGATAATGAGCGTTGAGGGTTGTTTCATGGATTTTCATCTTGATTTTGGAGGCTCCTCGGTGTGGTATCATGTTATAAGGTAGGTGCTGGTATTGTCTCCTTTTTTCTGTTTGTGTAAACGCTTGTTTTGCAGTGGGAAAAAGACATTTTTGATGATCCCTCCAACAAAGGGAAACCTCATGCTTTTCGAAGAATGGTCTTCTTCAGATAGGCAGGCAGGTATTTAGTTTTCGATGTTAGCATTGTTTTATGAGAGAAGCGGCCTTGCAGGCTAGCGTGTTCTTTGCAGAGCGAGCTAGCGGAGGCCAGAAAGTCGAGCTCTCGACTGGAGACACTCTCCTACTGTAAGCCGTTCTTCTATTCGCTAGTTTGCACATCCATCTAACGTTTCTTTTGCTGCAGGCCTGGGGGCTGGCCGCATTGTGTTGTAACTCACGCCGACTCGATAGTTATTGGTGGAAATTTCCTGACAGGCTACAATTTGGGGCTTCAGCTCGACATATATCCTTTATCTTGTTCTTTGGATGACAGCGACAGATTCTTTTCCTTGACCTTACAATACTTGGCTGATGGAGGAGCGGCTCAAAGTTCGCCAAAAGTTTCGGTTTCCCTTCTATAAGCAGCTAATGTGGTATGTGATACTTCCATGGCAGATTTGTGTAGCTCATGTTTGAAATTATAGGTATACTGCAACTCGCTATTTACAGCTACTAAAAGATGACTCTGGCAAAGAAGAGGTTACTAGCTGGGAAAAGGAAGGTCTTCCGAAACTTGTAAGAGGTCTCAAGTTTTGGTTGCAGGTAAGATGGGTAGTGTTCATGCTTACGTTCTTACAAGACTCGTGTTTTCTTCAGTCTAAGGATGGCGGTGAGGTGCCTCCCGACATTTCTGACCCGGTTGAACTTTTGAAAGAACTCGAGAACATCTTAAAAGTGAAGGTAACAAACAAAGTGGCATTTTTATGGTTGCTCACATGTGTATGTGGCAGAAAAGCAATCCGGATGTGGGTTTGACGAGCCCGACGGAAGGCGAGACAAGCGTAAGCGAAGGGATTCGACTTAATCTACTATAATTCTTGCATATGTTTCAGGTGAAGCCAGAAAAGCTCGAAAATGAGGAAGAAGAGGTGGAGGAAGAGCAAGAGGACGATGAAGGAGAGGTAAGCTCATACTTTCTACATGTGGTAGTCACACACCTCTCGTGCCAATGCAGGTATTGTACGATGAAAACCGGAAGGACGACGACGAGGATTTCGACGTGGAAAAGGACGGAGATGCGACCAGCAGCGACACTGACGAAGAGTTTGACGATGAATCAGAGTACTCAGAAGACAGTGATCGACCACGTCGGAAACCAAAGCCATACTCTCGAGGAGGACGAAAGGTAAAAGTCTCAATACTCTTCCCCCGCGTGTTTAGATATCACAAGAGCTCGAATTCCAGGAAGTAAAGTCGGCCTCGGTGTCGAAGCTAATGCACGGAACGAAGCCATCGCCGGTGAAGAAAGCCTCAAACACCAAAGCCAACACGACCGTGAGGGAGCGATTGATGAAGAAGATCGGAGTAGATCCGAGGATGCCTTTCAATCCCAGGCAGCAAAAGCCGAGGCAGCGAGAAGAAAGCCCCCCTCCGGAGGAAGAAGAAGGCGATGAAGGAGACGAATTCGATGGGGAAGAAGCCACGAGGATTTAAGAGAATAAGAACCAGTCATATGCTTATGCTTCATTTGGATGTATAGAATGTATTCTATCGTCTGGACAATAGCTAACTAGCCCGGTCGCGAGGTCGAATCTAGGGAGGCCGCGAAACGAAATATTTAGCCAGGTGGAAAGATGGGAGACATGGCATTGAGGGTTTCGGTCCCTTGTGTGTCGCGGATCCACAGGGCGGCGCTAGCTTCTTCGTCTAATCGCTGCTCTTCGTCTCTTCAATCCACATCGCTGCATTCCAGCTGCGCGAGGATCGTCGGGCGCCGCATTGATCGAGCTCCCGCTGCTGGTATGGATTTTCTACTCCATCGGGCTTGGATTATCGATGGCTTTGGTGTTGCAGGTGGTTTCCGGCAGAGGATCAGAGGGATGGCGTCTACCGAAGCGGCGGAATTGGACACTGGAAAGGAGAGCGTTCTGGAATGGGCACAAAAGGATAATCGCCGCATGCTACATGTCGTGTACCGTGTTGGCGATTTGGATAAGACGATCAAGTGAGTTCTTCGGTTGGTTTTTTTTTCTTTTTTTTTTCTTTTTCTGTGGGATCATCTTTGCTTTTTGTCCTTAGATTTTACACTGAGTGTTTTGGAATGAAGCTCTTGCGCAAGCGTGACATTCCCGAAGAGAGGTACACGAATGCTTTCCTGGGTTATGGACCCGAGGACAGTCACTTCGTCGTAGAGCTCACATACAGTAAGTTTTTCTCAGACCTTTCCTCTCAATGCGCTGTTTTGATCAATTTCTTTTTGCAAGACTATGGAGTTGATAAGTACGATATTGGAACTGGATTTGGACATTTCGGGATTGCTGTCGAGGACGTGAGTGAGTTTGAGATTCATAGCTGTGAGCTCATATGAAACTACAGGTGTACAAAACCGTGGATTTGGTTAAAGCCAAAGGTGGGAAAGTTTCGAGAGAGGCGGGTCCTGTCAAAGGAGGATCCACTGTGATAGCCTTTGTGGATGATCCCGATGGATACAAGTTCGAGCTTATTCAGAGACCAGCGACCCCGGAGCCTCTGTGTCAAGTCATGCTGCGTGTTGGTGATCTCGATCGATCCATCAGCTTCTATGAGAAGGTATATCAACGTGCTTAAACCATTCGTGTCTTTCTTCATGGTCTTTTGTTCCAGGCGCTTGGAATGAAGCTCCTCCGCAAGCGTGACAATCCCGAGTACAAGGTAAGCTTAAAGTTTCTCGCCTCATGCTTCTATGCTTGTCTCGTGCGTGAGTGTGCAGTACACGCTTGCGATGATGGGATACGCGGAGGAAGATAAGACCACTGTGATGGAGCTGACTTACAACTATGGTGTTACCGAGTACACCAAAGGAAATGCTTATGCCCAGGTTCGTGCATCACTCCATCTTTGGCCTTTATAGTTTCTCTCTCTCTCTCTCTCTCTCTCTCTCTCTCTAGATTGCTATTGGCACGGATGATGTCTATAAAACTGCTGAAGCAGTCAAAGTTTCTAGTGGCAAGATTACTCGCCAGCCAGGCCCTCTTCCTGGCATCAGCACGAAAATCACAGCTTGCCTCGATCCGGATGGCTGGAAGACTGTAAGCTTTTCCTAATGCATTGTTTCTCGATCCATCTCACACGACTATTTTGTTCCCTTTCCTTTCTCCTTCAGGTCTTCGTTGATAACAAGGACTTTCTCAAGGAACTCGAATGAACTAGAACTGCAATTTTCAAATATATTAGTGCCTAATCGCTTTAAAAAAATTAAATATGAGATCCAGCCAAAAATGGTTTGTATACATTATTGCAAATGCTTTTTACAAAGCCATAATCAATGTGATCAACCCCACAGCATAAGCCATGGAAAGGACGAACCATCCCAGGAAGAGGGCCTGGCTGGCGAGTAATCTTGCCACTAGGGGGCATCCTGGGTTGTTCTCACCGCTATGACCACCAGGAATATTGAGCAAATATCCAAGCTTGTGCTTGGTTCAAGGATTATACCCAATAAGAGCTTTGGGAACAAACCCACCTCACCTCCACAGTCCTCTTGACGATCTCATAAGCACCTTGTCCATGGCTTCTTGGCGGTTGGCGCTGCGCAATTGCGGATGAGGAGAAAAGTGGGTGAAATTCTGATGCTGGATGCCAGGCTGGGCTATGAGAAGAGTCATCCAGTGGCTCGCGAAAATCAGTGAAGTTTCCCCAAGTGCTTAAACATAAAAAGAGGACGTGAGTTGTTGATAATTTGGAAGAATAATCGTGAGAGGTGGACTCACCCTTTGTTTTGACCTTCTTGGGCTGTGAATGAACGAATGATATTCTCAAGACCAAAGTTCAAACGATTTATCGGTCACCCTTTGTAAAGCTATTGACAAAATGGGAATATAATGGAGTCACAGGGTCAGATTTCTTGCCCGTTCTGCGTCTATCATTAACGTGAAGGAGCAAATTTGTTTCGATGCGGATTCCCGGGCTAGGTCGAGCACAGGTATAAAAGTACGGAAAATAGTTAAACATCTAAAAGAAGACGTGAGTTGCTGATAGAATAATGAGAGGTGGAGAACATCATTACTTTTAGTGTCAACGTCAAATGGTTATTACAAATTTCTTGAGCTTTTTATATTCTCAATCAAGACCAAATTTCAAACGATTTATCGGTCACCCTTTGTTAGAAATCTGTTTGTTTCTGCGAGGCTCGACATACATTTGACTATGTAAAATGGACGGTTGCAAGGTCAGATTTCCTGCCCGTTCTGCGTCGATCAATCAAGGTGAAGGAGCTGCTAGAATTTGTTTCGATGCAATCACGACCCTCGTCAAATTGTTCGCTTGGCACGGTGATCGAAAAAAGGCACAATCGCTGTTATTACGGTTAGGATTTCTGTGCCCCTAGAAACTTCTTGCTCGAAGGATAATAATGAATCAAGATATTCACAGCTGCGGGGGTTTATACTCATTATTGTATTCTAAGTATAAAAGGTATACATCATTCTCTTCGTTTTTTCTCTCCCGGATCTCTTTCCTTCTGGTTTTCTTCGCTTGGCTATGGCTTTCGCTCGGCTCTTCCGTCCTTTCGTTTGTTCTTTCTCTGTTAGGAACTTCGGATCTCGTGGTCGTGGATGGGAAACAAGCTTCACTCGTTTGTTTTAAAATGTCTTTGTTTCTTCTTCCTTTCTCAGAGATCCTCTTTGCATTTCAGATGTGGAGCAGTCCGAGCACAGTGTGATCCTGGGGACAGGCCAAGACCAGAGGATCTGGCGTAGCCAGACCCTGATCATTGCCCAACAAGCTGCAGGAGCTGACAACGAGAACATGGATGGTGGCGCTCCTCTTGCTGCTCACGGTGGCGCTCCTCCTGCGGCTCACGGTGGCGCTCCTCCTGCTGCTAACGGTGGCGCTCCTCCTGCTGCTCACGGAGGCGCTCCTCCTGCTGCTCACGGAGGCGCTCCTCTTGCTGCTAACGGTGGCGCTCCTCCTGCTGCTCACGGTCCTGCTGCTGACGGTGGCGCTCCTCCTGCTGCTAACGGTGGCACTCCTCTTGCTGCTCACGGAGGCGCTCCTCCTGCTGCTCACGGTCCTGGCGCTCCTCCTGCTGCTGACGGTGGCGCACCTCCTGCTGCTCGGGACATGCCCTCGCCGTCGTCGGCCACCGCCGAACAAGCTGGATCCCCGATGTCTACGTGGGACTGGGACGCGTCTTCATCGTCGTCGGCCACCTCCGGGCAAGGTGGATCCCCAATGTCGTCGTGGGACTGGGACATTTCTTCGTCGTCGTCCTCGGCCACCTCCGAGCAAGCTGGGCAAGCTGCTGGATCACCAATGTCGTCCTGGGACACGCCCTCGCCATCGTCGGTCACATCCGGGCAAGATTCACAGATGTCTTTGAGGGACGCGCCTCCGCCGTCGTGGGGATCTCCTGTGTCGGTTAGTTGTTCTTTCTCTGTAATGTCACTGGAAATTCTTGTTTTCTTATCAGGAAACCGATTCTTGGTCACCTGGCGTGGGCAACGGCGAACCGGGCGGTGGGAACGGACCCAGCAATCGCGGAGCCGACGGTGTGGACGGACCCAACGGTGCTGGCGGGGCGGACGGACCAAACAACGGCGCGGGCGGCGGAAATAGTAGCAACGGTGCGCGCAATGGCAACGGTGGTGGCGGCAATGGTGGGAATGGTGGTGGCGGCAATGGTAGGAATGGTGGTGGCGGCGGACTCGGCGGGGGTGGTGGCGACAGCGCGCCTTACGTGGACCCGGAATGGCTCATCTACTGATGATTCGTGTTTTGTAAACTTTTTTGCTCGAAATGAGAATCGACGTCGTTCCAGCCATGGTAGCCGGGCATAGACGGTCTTGCTGGGCTGGGCCGAGGTGCGTATCATCAGGCACTGGGCTCCAGCCAGCACGATATATCCGCTGGTGTCGTGTTCAAGTACTCTCCTCTCCACGGTTTCTACGCTATGCAAACATCGAAAAGTTCGGTCTAGCTTTTGGAGTTACGATGCGGAGGCAGTGCCTTGACGATCTTCCAGACGAGGTGCTCATTCGGATCATGTCTCTCCTCGCCTGGTCGCGCGACTTGAATCCCTCGTCTCTGGTAAGCAAGAGGTGGGCGCAGCTGGCAAGGCTCGTCACGCACTACTCCTTGGAGTCGAGCAGTCGTGATGTGGAGCAGGGGCTCATCCGCTGGTTTGGCCACAACGATCTTCGCCAGTTATCCATTCGGTTCCAGCAAAGTTGCACTCGCTGGCTGCACCAGATCGGGAAAGGGCTCCACTCAGTCACCATCTACGGAGGTCCGCAGCACAAGTTCGAGGACTTCTGGTCCAATATCTCGGCGTGTCAGGAGCTCCGCTGTCTCCACGTCCACGTCACACAACTCGGCTCCACGCTCGGCAATGCAACCTTGCCTTCACCGCTGCTGCCCAATCTCCTCTTCCTCAGTTTTCACAGACCGATCAACGTGACTGTGCTGCAGCAGCTGCTCGAGATCTGCCCCTCCCTTCTTGCAGTGCGGATGGGTACGATAGTGGTGAGCTCGCCCGGTATGTAAAGCTAACCCGATTTCCCCAGTTTGGGCATTTTTTGTTGTCAGCTTGCATTCTCAAATATGTGACTTTATAGGTACCTACGTGCTCAAAAGCCGCAGCCTTGACAGCTGCCAGTCGGAATTCTGCGAGGGTGATGGACGCGACAACTTTACGCTTGCACTTGACACACCAAAGCTCCGGTGGATGTTCTTTGTCGTTCCGCGCATCCAACTGCAGCCCACTACATGCAACGTAGAGTGGATCCGGGTGAGAGAGAGCATGCGGCATATCCAGGGGCTGCGCTACTCCAGGCTCAAAAAGATCATCTTCCTCAACCCGTTTAGCAGCCCTGCCCAAGTAATGGACAAGGTAGCTTTGTGTAGAACGTTGAGCCTGAAGAAGTTCTATTTCTGCATCTTTGACGATGGCATTCCACCCTGCTCTATTGATCTTGTGGCCCTGCTGGAGCCGTTCCAGGGCCTTGAGGAGTTCATTGTCTCTTTCATAAGTATCAAGGTGAAGCTTTTGCTTTTTGTTCCAATGCCTCACGGTGTGTGTGACTAAATGCAGCAACTATACGTTGCAAACTGGAGCAGCATGGAGAAACCCTTGACAGTTAGAGTCGAGTTCGTCCACACCAAGCACATCTGGGAAAGAAACGGTCTGGAACTGGAGTTCGTCCGTGGGCTGGTGGAGAGAAGCAGCGGCACAAAGGTCGAGCTAAAGTGTGTCTACTGGACTAACAAAGATGCTAGTCCACAGATTCCTGCGCTGCTCGAGGAGTTTGCGAGAGAGCACCCAGGACGTGTCAAGCTGCAGCCCCTGCAGTGGGTGCCCCGGAGCGACTGCGGCATGCTGTGGCGATCTTGGCAGGAAAGTGTTGACTCGGAAGCTCCCTACGCTGCAATCGATCACTGGTGCAGAGGGATGCATGAGTCGCATTCGCACATACCATGCGGCTGGCAGTAGCTATCATGAGCATCTATGAATCAACATGAATCACTGAGCAGCAGAAGGAAGCAGAAGACAACACCAGTCTTGGTGTTAACTAACACCAGACTATGCATGAAATTACAAAGCCATTTAGATTTAAAAATCAACGAGAAGCATTATTCATAGAGCAGTTAGACGAAGTCACAAACATCTGGAATGGATGTTACACAACGATTAGTAGAGGCTTTTTAGATTTGACACGACAACCAATCCTCCGTGGTATACACGGGACCTTCAGCCTAAATCGCAGGAAGTGAGAAGAACGAAACTTGAATAGATAAACGTCAATCTGCTGGTCGAAGCCAACCAGCTTAGCCAAATCCTCAGCAGTCAATTGCTCGGAGCAAGTTACAGCTTGGATACGAAGCGATCCAGGTGCTTCTCATAAAACTCGTCAAGACCAGCAGGGCTGCAGGATCAATGGAGAAAGGTGGAATGTCCTTGGTGAAGCTTTCTTATTTGTTCCATTGGAGCACCCCTTGGCAGGCTTCTCTGCACCAGCACATCTGGGAAAGAACAGGTCCGGAACTGCTAGGTTTTGATACATGCCCAGACTGCTTCCTGATTTCAGAACCAATTAAAAATTATGTGAACATCATCCAAAGTGGTCCTTTTAAGACTAAACATGGAAAGTTTTGTGTTGATCTTGTTTTTATGTCATTTTAATTGTGTTGATTTGATCATTAATTTGATCAGTAAAAAAATATTACTATGGTGATTCGATTTTGAAATTTAAAATACCACCAAATCTAAAGCTCTCCAAATTTATTCTTCCACAACATTATTATTTCGTTTTTATACCTATCTTCTTTAGCCTGAAGATCTTATTCAAGCTCAAAAGCAAAATCAATGTCTGCCTCCATTGCATCTAGCTGCTCTTGAGAATCCTCTTCAAGCATAACATGCACATTGTCCACATTTTGGAGGATTTAGCTCATTTCTTAATTTGAACTTCCATCAAGGCCTCCTTGTGTTCTTGGCACTCAGAAACCTCCTCAAATGTGAGATCTAGCATCTCTTCATCATCCACATCCTCAAGATTCAATTCCTGAGGGTGTTTAAAGTTTTGGGTAAAGGGAGTTTTATTAAATATCTTTTAATTTCCACCTTTATATCTAGCATATTCCCATAATTTATAGACGCTGCTTTGAAGTTGCCATGGAAAAGATACCTTTCTGCTCTTGTTTATTCAAAAAGATTAATAAGCTTAAAAGCCCACTAATGTTCTTAGAGTAGAAATCGTTTGTTATTGAGGTCAAACTTTGATCTTAATTTATGCATGAATGCCACACATCTTTGAATTTGTTTATATTAACCACTCCATAATATTTTATAGCAAAATTTGAAGGTGAGCTATCTTCTAGCCATCAACTTACCGAGATTACAGTTCGCTGGAGGAACTTGCTGGGTGTGGAAAAAAACGATCTCGTCCGAATCCTCATCCTGCTCGGCTCCAAATTCTCCAAGACCTAGTGAAGCCGTTGCGTTGACTCGGAAGCAGAGAAATGCACGAGTTGTGGCTATGGAAGCAAGTATGAGTATCTTTGAATCCTCGTGAATCACTGGGAGATCGGGAAGGAAGCTCTTGTATCACACAATCATTGTCTTCCTCAATGCAAGTCCCTGACCGCGCGGCCAGACTTGTACAAAGATTGATACACGGGCTTGATCCTGACGCTCACGTAGACGCTGGCGGCGGACCCGACGAGGCACACTCCAGCCATGATCAAGAACGTGAGCCGGAAGCAGTGAGCTCCAATGCACTGGTCGGCCTGCGGCCCGTCTCGCGCCTCCATGTCGTAGAGGTAGCCGGCGATGACCCCCGAGAAGAGCAGCGATCCCACCGGGTCGCCCATGGTGAGGAAGTTGTAGATCTTGCCAAAGTGCTTGAGGCCGAAGAGCTCCGACGCGGTGGGAACCATGACCGAGAAGTGGACGCCGTAGCAAAAGCCCAGCAAGATGGAGCCGACGTGAAGCGAGCTCGTGCCGGCCCATGCAAACAAGAGGTGCGCGACTGCCATCAGGCACTGGGCTCCGGCCAGCCAGAGAGTCCGAGGAACAGCCTTCCTGCAAAGAATGCTGGTCAGTGACCATTGGCGCTATAGAACTTCTACGAGCTGAGATCTTACCGGACGTATTTCTCCGAGATTGCTCCGCCTCCAAGCCGGCCCAGGAAGTTCCATATCCCCAGGAGTGTGACGAAGATCGTCACGTCGGTGAATCCCTGCGCCTGGCCGATCTGTCCCAGATTGTTGATGGCCGTCACACCCGACCCGACTCCACAGAAGAACGTGAAAAAGAGCAGCCAGAAGTCCGCCTTGAGCAGCGACTGCCTCAAGTTGAAGTCCTCTCCACGCCTCGGCTTTCTCTTCCTCGGCACAGCGCCTTCTCCCACGGCCATCAGCACGTCCGTATCGTTTTCTATCTCGGCTTCACTCAGACTCGTCGCGCTGTCGCTGGTGCTCATCCCCGGCGGGAATTTCTTTCGATCGTCCCAGGAGAGCTCCTCCTCGGTCCGCTCGATGTAGCTATCGTCGTGCCGGAAAGTTGGCAGAGTTCTCGCGTCCTCCTCGTCAGATTGCCCGAGTTCTTCTTCGGTGGATCCTATTTGGAACTGGACGGTTTCCTCGCGCACGAGGGGCTCGCTCACGCCGCCGTCTTCTTTTTCCAAGTTACGTCTCGATGGTGGTTCCTCAGTTCTCTTAAACAACCCGAGGATAAAGAACTTGAGAGCGACGAAAACCGGAGCAAAGAGGAACAAGAGCATGACAGTGGCTATAACTCCGGAGACGATTGGATTACTCGGGAGAAAGTCCTGGACAAAAGTGGCGACGAGAAGGTAGAGCGCGAGGGACACGCAAATAACATGAACGAGGAAAAAGTTTCGTTTCTCTTCGGGTTCACGGGTGGCGTCGGGAACTGGACGAACGAAACCCATGCAAGCCACGGACACGGCGAAAGGACTGGTGGAAAGAAGCAGCAACAACGAGACCGGGTTCTTAAAGAGGAAGGACGTGTAGAGCTGGGTGAAAATGGCACCACTGAGACCAACGAAGCCTTTGAGGATTCCCACAACAGTACCTCGGCTCTGGGGGAAGTTCCGCATGGTTGTGACGAGAACCGCGGTGTTGAAGAATGTGGCACTGTTGGCACCGATGCAAATAGCTAGACACATCTGCAAAATATGAATATTAGAAGAAAAGAAAAAGGAAGGACTTTCAAGCTCAGAAACCCAAAATAGTTTGCAAGCTTTTCCACTCTTTCAGCCACTCTTTCGTTGACTAACTCTATAAGCGAAACGCAAAATCTAGAAAATGAAACTAGCACTTGAAAAAAAAATTTGTTTTTTTTACCTCGTGCTTTGCCAGGAAATGAGAAAGAAATCCGAGAATGAAAGAGAACTTGCAACGCAAAACTTATCTCTAGATGTCAGGAAAAACTTACTTGCCAGTATGGAAGTGGAGCGATCCTTTCGCTGACGACGAGCCAAAGAACGCCATATCCGAGGAACGCCTCCAGCCCCCCAATGAAGAGGATGAGCCATGCAGGGAGCTTGTTGGAGAGATAGCCAGTGATGAGCCCCACATTCTCGCCGATGTCCTTGGCCACGCCCAGATTGTTGAGCTCAATCTGCGAGTAGTGGAGCACCGCCTTGAGCCGCGGCGAGAAATGCGAGAAGGTGTAGGCGTTGCCGGCAAATGCCTGGATCCAAATCGACGCTGCCAGGCCCAGCCATTTGATCGTCAGCTGCGACGAGGGCCCGGAAGAGATCGACGCCATTCTTGTTGCTCGCTTCTCCGCCGATCGACCCACGAGAGCAGTAGCATCTGGCAGGGGGATTTCAAGGACACCCACCTGGATGGCACTGGTGGGCGACTCGCGATGATTAGTCTGACACCAAACAGAATGGAATAGAGGAAAACCCTGCCGCTGTTTGCTGCTCATGTCGTGGCTGCGGCGGTCCGAAATCCTGGCAGGACACGTGTCCACCTCCCATCAGCCCTAATATAGAGTTGCCCATAAACCCTAACCCTAAAACCCAGAACAGAACATAAACCCTAAAAGATTTAGAGCGCAATGGTCGCATGAATCCCAGCAGCAATGTGGCTGTGCTGCCTCCACTGCGAGCCCTTCCTGACGATGGATCCGACTACTTTGCAGCGCTTCTCCGATCAAGCGGCGACTTTCGGGAGGCATCAGGCATCCGGGCTCGGATCTTGGAGAGCGAGCATCGCCAGAATCTCTACCTTGCCAATCTCACGATCCAAGTCTATGGAAAGTTTGGCAGGATTGACGAGGCACGCGCGGTCTTTGATGCCATCAACCGCCCAAACGTTTTCTCGTGGACTATCCTCCTCACGGCATATGCCCAAAGAGGGCATCTGGACGATGCCAAACGGGTTTTTGACAAGATGCCCGAGCGCAACCACGTCGCCTGGAATGGGCTCCTCGCGGCATACTCCCAGCACGGTCGAATCCAAGAAGCAGAGATTCTTTTCCAAAAGATACCCGAGTGGAACCTTGTTACATGGAACGCGATGATAACAGGATATGCCCAGAACGGGCATCTGGAAAAAGCCCAGGAGATATTCCAAAGCATGCCGGAGAGAGACGTAGTTTCCTGGACTGCGATCATCACCGTTTATTCCGACAAAGGCCAAGTTCCCTCAGCGAAAAAACTCTTCGATTCCATGCCTGGCAGGAACATCGCTTCCTGGAACGCGATGATCCAAGTCTACTCCCGCAGCGGGAACCTCCAAGAGGCCAACCAGCTCTTCCACCGAATGCCCGAGCGCGACTTCGTCTCGTGGATCAACATCATCACCGCCAACGTTCACTGCGGGAGCATCGAACAGGCAAAGTTAATCTTTGACGAGATTCCCGAACAAGAAACTCAATCCTGGAATGCGATGCTTACCGGTTACGCCCAGCACGGGAACTTGGAGGCCGCCAAGAGCATCTTCGACAGCATGAAGCACCGGAACATCGTTTCCTGGAACTCCATGATCCAAGTCCACGTCCAAAAGGCCAACTTAGCCGAGGCAAAGCAGCTCTTTGACAGGATGCCCGAGCGAAACCTCGCGTCCTGGACTGCTCTGATCACTGCCTACGGGCAGGAAGCCGACGTGAGGTCGGCGAAGCAGATCTTCGACGGCATGCCCGAGCTCGACGTAGTCGCGTGGTCGACGATGATAACCTGCTGTGCACAAGCCCGCCATCTTCGCGATGCCAAAGAAACCTTCGACACTATGCCGGAGAGGAACCTGGTTGCCTGGACCAACATGATAACTGCGTACGCTCAGTCTGGAAAACTGGACGAGGCCCGAGAGATGTTTGAAAGAATGCCGGTACGTGATGGAGTAGCCTGGAACACCATGATCTCTGCTTATGCCAACCACGGTTATCCGGACGAGGCCAAGGTCCTGTTTGATGGAATGCCGCAGCCCGACATGGTGTCCTGGAACGTGATAATGGAGTCTTATGCCCAGAACAACCAGCTCCTCGAAGCAAGGGCCACCTTTGAGAAGATGCCCGAGCGGGATATAGTTGCCTGGACTGTGCTTGTGGCCGCGTACGCCCAAGCAGGACATCTGATCAAAGCCAGGAGGATCTTCGACTGCCTCCCAAAACAAAACGTTGTGTCCTGGACAGCCATGATAGCTGCTTATGCCCATTCTGGCCATGGTAAGCTTGCCGTCGAGCTCTTCCAACTGATGGGTCTCGACGGACTCAGCCCCGATGAGATCACGGTCACGGGTCTTTTGAGTGCCTGTAGTCACGGTGGCCTCTTCAAGGAAAGCTTGCAGTACTTCGGCTTCATGAACCAGGACTACGGATTAAATCCGTCTGCCGAGCACTACTGCTGCATGATCAACGTTCTCGGCCGTGCTGGGCAGCTGAAGCATGCGCAGGAGCTACTCCAAGGGATGCCATACCTTCCCGATGGCACAACTTTGGGAGCCTTGCTGGGAGTGTGGTCAGCTTACGGTGGTGCGTCTGCCGGATCAAATATAGCCGAGCGCGTCGTTGAGCTGGACCCTGAGAACTCGGCACCATATATCTCTCTGGCTAACATCTTCGCAGCTGAAAGTCGTCGTCGAAGAGCCTCGACTTAAGCGGCATTATTTCCGGACTGTACAAAATGATCCCCGGTACTAACCAAAAGCCTTCGCTGTACACGCGTTCTCATAATTGTTTTTGCTGTCTTGTAAGTAGCCTTCTGCTGCTCGTTTTCTTTGACTGACAAATGCAGCCTGGATTCGGATTTGCGTAGAAGTTTTCTTCCCACTTCGGAGATTCACCGGATTCCCTGTACGATGGAGCACCTATTTTCTTGTGATGCACTCTTCTGATTTCTGCTGCGAAATTGTCCCACGAGAGATTTCCTGTTTCGTAATCATCCACGAGAGTTACTACACTTTGTCTGCAACAAAAACCAACTGTAAGATAATCCATCAGAGAACCAAACAACCAGGACGTACCGGTCTGGACTGATCGTTTTCCTGTGTCCCTCAAACCTCCTGTGCCCCTGAACAGCCTTGGCCATGTTTCCGTCGTATGTATAAACGAAGGTATCGCTCTTCAATGCCATGATATAGTCCAGGCCTGCGATTCTGTTTTGAAAGCCCTTGAACTCCGCCAACTCCTGCTCCGTTGCAAGAGTTGAATGGGTGTAAACGTTTGGATACACGCTTTGGAAAGCTTTCATACTGTTGTTTCCGAAACTTTCGCCTGCCGCAATGTAAATGTTGGTGGATGCCGGATATCCCAAGCCTTTCAGTAGAAGAGCAGCTTCGTGAGGTGTCAGAGGGCAACCTCCTTCCATCCGTTTTTCTTCCGCAGCAATCTCCTTTTCTTTCCAGTGCTTAGTGCTGTAACGCATATCACGTAACACGTTCGCTTCATCGGCTGTTAGCCCGTGCGAACAACCCGTGAATGCCAACATGTCCTTTTCGTATCTACATTCAGGTGAAGCCTCAGAAACTGCAGTTGATAGGTAGGACATATCACATTTTACCTCAAGTGGAGAGCTATATACGGCCCTTTATCTCGCATCCGCTCAACAAGAACTTGTCCCAACCTTTGAATTGGCTTGGCGTACTTCAGAGCTCGATAATTTGCTCGGCAGCGAAGTTGTTGTACACTGTTAGGAATATCATTGTTCGCTAGACGTGAATCCGCATGGGTGAAGTAGACAACCTTGTGCTTCTTGAGCAAGGGAAGAATCTCCTCTTTGTAGTAAGATGCCTGGTAAATCGCACGTCAATACTATCCAAACGAGACAGCGTAGCAAGCTATACCTTCGACCATGATACGGGAGCTTTCTTGACTGGCTCGACGCTCTCCAAATGGGAAGGAAGGGCTTTCACAATTCGTACATCGTCTTTCAAGGTCTCTATGAAGTGATCGATGTCAAAAATGTCCGCGAATTCACTGCACTATGAAACTGGCATAAGCATTCAACTCCAGATTTAAAAGTACCTTGGATCCTCCCAGAAGGAGCTGTGATCAAGTGTAGGCATGACTAAAGTGGCATTCATGATCCTGGCTACAGCAACCATGTCGCATATCTGAGAACGACATATCCGTATTATTCCAAATGAATAGAAAAGAAACAGACAAGCGCATACCCCGGTTCTCATCTGATTGAGGCCACCATTCGCGTTTACCAGAAGATAACCATTTGTAGCTGCTCCAGCCTCTGCCAGAAAATTCTTAGCATTTCCACAAGAGAGTGAGAAAACTTACTTCGAGATTTCTTGGGTCGTGCTATGCATTGCTCGTACTTTGAGGAGTCTGGATTCGCCCACAAGGAGTTGTAGAGCTGCCAAATTCATTCTCTCAAATGATCTAGCCTAATGCATGAAAGAATTCACGTTACCTTCCTCTCGACATGAGACACTTTCGTGATTGTGCTCTCGATCATCGCTCGCTGGTAGGACTCGGCTGGCTGAAACAAAGAGAAGAAACAGTGTGATCCTCGTCCTTTAGTCTCGGAGCCCATACCTTCGTCAACAAGAGCTGATCGAAATCTGCCCCCAGCCACTCCACAGACAAAATCTTGGCTAGGGCAAGAACGATCAAGAGCAGGCCGATGAGTCCCAGCAAGGATTTCCTCCACGCTCTGGCGGCCGCGCAGCTGGAATCCTTGGCATCGCTCTGGAAAATGCTCGTGGCCAAAGCGTGGAAGGGATCAACCTGCATCCGCTTGGTGGAGATCGACCGCCGGTAGACGGGCGTCTTGCTCTCGCCGCTCAGCCTGGGGCTGAGAACGATCTCCGCAACATCCCGCGACATCATGCCGCCCGGGAGATGACCTCTGCTCCACTGCGGCGCCATGGATCGGCGATATTACGCCTCCGCTTCCGACCGCCGCCGCGCCGAGTCGTCGTCAATTATCCCACGCGCAATGGGGACCAAGAAACTAAGAATCGATGATCGAGCAAGAAGGGAGAAGAGAGCGAAGAGAGAGAGAGAGAGAGAGAGAGAGAGAGAGAGTCCCAACACGGCATGTAAGTTATGTGAATCTTCTCTTACCTATCACTTTTAACCACGAGTGAATCCGCGCTCGTGAAAAACCAGAACGCGGTGCTGCCACGTGTCAGAGGATAAACATCTCCTGCCGCACGTTTATTTGACCAGCGGTGTGTGTTTAAACCAAGGCAGCGTTGTATTTGACCGTGTCTCTTGCAAACCTTAACTTTAATTCCTTGTGTCTTGATCGATATATGGATACTTGTCCATTGTCTATGGTTGTGGCTGCGACGCTAACTATTGCTCGATTGAGCAACAGTCTACCTAACGACCTTTGTTAACATAACCATGTGCTTAACATCGTACTAAATTAAAGGTACCACCTTTTATTTGTAAACAACGAATTTAAGATATTCTTCGATTTCTAGAGGAATCTTAGCTTTTAGTTCAAGGGTCCATGTCATTGTGGCCAGCACTTTTGCAACGACGACCATAATGGTTTTTCCAAACATTATAAACCCTCTCTTCTTTCTCACACAGCCCATACATTTGTAGCCCCTCTTCCAATGAGATATCTCTCGCTTGTTCTATCGCTTTGCGTCCTCTTCTTTCTGGTTGCCACTGCCAATGGATCTACCACGAAGAAGCAAGGTAAGGTAACCTTCCTCCAGTTCTACATGCACGACATTGTCACGGCCAAGCATCCCACCGCCGTCATGGTGGCCAAGCCCCCTTCCAGGAACGATTCGTTTGGCCTGGTGATGATAATAGACGATCTCATCACGCAAGGACCCTCTTCCAGCTCCAAAGTTTTGGGACGGGGCCAGGGAACTTATATGGTGTGCTCGCTCACCGGCATTAACTTGCTCTTCAGTTTCGCCGCTGTCCTGGACACTCCAGAGTATAAAGGGACCATCAGCTTCCACGGCCTCGACATGCTTGCACTGACCGTGAGAGAGTTCGCTGTGACGGGAGGAACCGGAGATTTTAGATCGGTGCGAGGCTACGCTACCATCGAGACGCAGGCTCTAAAGGGGCTCAACGCAGTGCTCCTGTTCAAAGTTTATCTCACATATTAGCATAGAGAAAAAGAGAGAAGTGTGGACCTTACTATTGTCCGGAGAGCTCGTTTAGCTTCCGGAAGTTTGTGCACACCCGAGCCCATGCTTGACGATGAGAGGCTCGGTGAATCCAAACATTTTTCGCTTCTCATTGTACTCGACGTAGTAGTTCTCTTGCTGGAGCGTTCCTATGACCGCCTGAGCGGCCCCAGTCTTGAGAAAGCCGAAGCACACCACGCCGGTGTTCTTGCCTGTTGGAATCATGTAGTTTCCCGGCGTGATCGTCCACAAGGCGTTCTTTCCAAAGTCCATGACAACGCTGGGGAACGAGCCGAGCTGCGTTGGGCTCATGCGGTAGCAAAGTGACAGCGGCTTGAAAGTCGCCGGTTCCCTCCTGATCTTCTTTCGCGCTGCTTCTCGGACAACTTGCTGCCGGACGAGATCGTATGCTGCATTTGGAAGGCTTGTGAACCGAGCCGTAGTTCCAATCTGGATAAACTCCTGTGCCTTGACGGGCACGGAGCCAAACTGGACTCTTTGCAACCGGAGCAAATACGTTGTCGAGCCGGAACGAGGATTGTTGGTGACGAAAAGCGGAGTCCGGATGAAGGAAACAGGTCGGGACTGTAGAACGTCCGAGTTGTTAAACAGGAAGTAGCTCCGTCTTCCGAACGAAAGCTGGCCTCGACCACCGTCTTGCATTGCTCCCAGGCAATAGGCAAACGTGAGAGGAAGCTTTGCGGCGCTAGTAGCCTGGAAGGGAAAGCTGGACGTACTGGAACCCAGTGCCAAAATGCTGGGTGCGTTCTTCTGGCTTCTGCATGAGATTCGGACAGGAAGCTCCAGGCTTGTAGGAATCGAGCCGCCTGAAAGGCCGGTAAATGAGATGTTGAAGGTTTCGCTGGTCGACGCGCACTTGGATACAGGAAGCTGAGCACTTGTGTCCAGAGTGAAGTCTCTAGACTGGAACTGGTTGCTCCTGCCAACCTTGAAAGTCAGTGTTGCGACAAAATTACTCCCAGAGGAGTGAAGTAAAGCGGATGGATAAATGCTAGACTGCTGAGCATAGATCAAAACGCTATTCACAACGACGACCAGGACCTGCGCGAGAAAGGTTGTCATCGCCGCAAGTGAAAATGGCTGCTTGAAAATTCTCACCCTTTGCTTCATATATAAAGCCTTGAGAGTCATGTCCGAGACGCATCATGTGATCCACTAGAAAAAGCGACCAGAGTAATCAGTTGCCGCAGAAGTGATAGAAGCACGGGGAAAAAGCAGAAAATGGAGATGAGGGGCATCGATCCCCTTACCTATCGCATGCGAAGCGATCACTCTACCAACTGAGCTACATCCCCAGTTCGAATATTCACAGTATAAGCCACATCACCCGGGAGGCAAACTAGTCATCTGCACAGAGAAAACACACCATTCAATTAGTCAGGGGCAAAAGACTTAGATGGAGAAGCTTCTACCAGTTGAAACGAATTATCTCCTCGTCATCATCACCGTCATCTGATTACAGGACAAATAAGCCAGAAAGTCAAAACATACAGTTTCACTTACAGTTTCTGTAGACAGCCATGACATCTTGCTCGCTTACTTGCCAAAACTCATTTCCATCGATTTCCATGCCGTAGCTCGTTACCAGAAACGGCATAGCAATGGCAGGAGACACAGGACACTTCGCTATACGGATACACCGACGACCTGCAAATGGTTGAAAAACAATTTAAGAAAGAAAGCAACAGAAAGCTCACCTTCACGAACTTCTAGAACAAGTCTGATATTAACAGCATGCGCCCAAGCTGTACCCAGAGCGACCCAAAGCTCTGACTCACCATCACCATATCCTACAACAATACATCGTAAACACACAATAGTTAGGAGATAGAATCCACACCTTCGTATGTGCCCGAGGCCCTCACGTGATTTGTCACAACGACTGGAAGTCTCCATGATTCGGCGAGGTACCTGGAAATATGCACGATCTATCAGTTTGATGTCACTTGAGACTTACTTTAACAACGATGCTTGCTTTCCAAGCAACTCCTGCCTTTCGAAAATCTCGTCCTCGTTGTCTCTGCAAGGGGTGCCTCAGGTCATATGCCCATTTCAAGGTGAAGCCTACCCTTCCAGTAAAGTTGCAATGCTATCGATCACCAAGAGCTTGACATTATCTTCAGGTATTATAGATTGCAGTTTCTGTAGGCTGAAAGCTCGAGAAGACGCATGTTAAAGAAAATAGATATCCGTCTTGATGGTACCTTGCACCTTTCTACGAGCTCCGGAGCAGAAGTAGGCGTCAATATCATCATGCGCTGCGCAATCTACGTTGAAAAAAGACAATGAGTCATTCGAGCGATTAGAAAATGAAAGCTCACTTCTCGGACACTGGCCTCGTTACAAAAAATCCCGGGATATTTGTGGGAGCCTATTTGCATCATCCTTCACACGCATCGAGCACTTCAAGCTTTGTACATTTTGTATTTTCCTTTCACATTACCTTGTGGTGGAAAACTTTCGCTCAGTGTCAATGTAAACAACACTGCCCCCAAGGCCACCAAAGCTCGTCGGAATGACCGTCTGGATCGACAGAGTGAGACAGAGCTGGCAAAAAAAAAAAAAAGAAAGAAAGAAACGAACCATTGTCATTGCCAGGAAAAACAATTTATAAAGGACCTGTGTCTTCCCAATGCCTGGGGGTCCAACAAGCTCAGTGATAACACCGAATGGAATCCCACCACACAGGGCGTCGTCGAGGAGCTTCAAAGTAGTCGAGAGGTGACCCATAGCAACCTCGTTCTTAGATCGCATTTGCACGATAGAGAGCACCTAACGGCGAAAGAAAAACAAATCAAACAAGGCGAGAAAAAAATGTCGAAGAAGCGCAATCACACCGTCTTGAATGGCGGACAAACGCTCTTGTTGATGCGCGCGAGCGCGGCCTCGAAAGAATCCATCGGCATGTCGAGGAGTTCCATGAGCTCCATTTCTGTCAATCCCAGCGCATCCTGCCCACAATGCAGGCGATCTTCGGCCCAAGAACGCTCGCAATCCGGATATTACCTTGGCATTGTGGATCTTGCGAGCTGCGAAGAGACGAACCACGGCCTCGTCGAGCCCCATCCTGGCGATCGACCTGTTCGCCATCGCCCAAACCCTAAACCTGTGCCTCAAAGATTTTGAACATATTCAGGTATATTCTAAAACGTATATTCTAGAATATTGTCAAAACTCCTAAACCCTAAACCTTAAAGGAACTCATTATCTCTTTATTTAATTACTTTTATTATACTCTTTCAATGTGTCTACGTATGGTATATTATGTATGCTGGTATCAAGGCAGCCACTACAGATCAGGCTTTAAGATTGGATTCCATGCTTTGCGTGAAAGACTTTCGGTCATTAAACTTAAGATTGTGATGGGATTTAGAGGTGGAGGCCAAGGGAGCAGGAATCGAGTTTGCTAACCTTGAGGAAGAGTTCGTGCTTGAGCACCATGTTTGCTCCACCGGCGTACGCAAGAACCTGGGTGGCAACCTGGCGACCCTTTGAGAAGTACAAGTCCCCAGTTCCCCCAAAAACTGGGAGATCATTGGCAATCAGCGAGAAATCGAACAGACCATCCGCGGAAACGTAAGAACCATTGTAAAACGGTGTGGAGAAGACAACCGCGCTGTTGTAAGTGACCAAGCTCCCAGCCACCGGCACGAAGAACGTCCCTTTGACCCTCCCAATCTCTTGGGACTCGTAAGATGGAGTGAGAGTGAGGCGATTGTTAAACACAGCTCCATATCCGGCGGTAAAGTTCGGATTCAAGCTTGTGCTTCCCAGAATCGCCCGCTCGCTCTGGATCTGGCTCGAGTTGGCTGGGCTCCTGATAATGTGGCTGTAGAACACAAAGTTCTTTGGAAGCCCGCAGCAGCAGTCGAGAAGCTTGAAAGTTTTGGTTGTTAAAAATCATATGAGATAAGTGATATAGAAAACTTACTGATATGGGAGGAAGATCAAGCGATGAGATTGCGAGTACCAAAGTCATGATCAGCAAACTTGTGAAATGTGCAACATGCTTGTCAGCCATCTCTGGACGACGCACAGATTAACGAGTGATTTGGGGGCGCAGTTATGCGACTAATTGGAGCGGGGGTCCGCAAAGTCAACGAGATGGATCGTGATTTTCGCTGCCGAGTTGCCAAAGTCAAAGATACCCGCGGGCTGGTGGAACGAACATAAGGATGGTAAGGGTTCTCACAGATGTTTGCATGGGGTCTAGCGTATAATGTGATTCATGATAAGATTTTATCTCGATGAAATGTATGGCTTTCGACGTCTGTCAATGTTGAGGCTGATGGGCAGAAAAATATAAGTCCTTTGGCTCTTTTGAGACAAGCACGGGCGTGTCGCCTTGATTAAATCCAAGCACACGTAGATTTTTGCGATTGGCAGCGAGCGTGTCAAGCATCTCTTCGAGACTTTGACATATTTGTTCGTTTCACGGCTCTCTCCCAAATTCCGGAAGAGCGGGAAGAACAATCGAGACAATGCGCGAGGAAAATCTCACAAAACTGCCACGAAGCAGTTTCCAGATTATAACTTATCACCAAGCGCGGTGGAATATCTCGCCACGTTGCGGGGGAATATGCCTGGCTATGGCGACCCTGTTCATCATGACTGGAGTAAAACCACGTCCGGCGATCATACCAAAGATGGAAAAAACGAGCATCTTTTAAATCAATGTGATGGATTCGAAGCAGAGGAGAGGGAATTAGGGCTCCAATTTTTTGCCGACGCTTCTTCTTCGCCTTCCTCCTCTTTCGCCTCTCGCGATCGCCATGCGCAGCTCGCCGATCGCTCAATCGATCCAAGAAATCCGGTTTCTTGGCCGCCTCGCCGCGAGGTAGCACCAGATTATGGATTTTTGGGACAAGCAGCGGCAAAAGATCCAGCTCCGGAGGGCATCGCTCGCGGCGATCGCGCTCCTCGCCTGCATTGTCTTCGTCTACCAGAGCTTCCAGGAGCCAAGCGATTCCTCCTCCTCTTCTTCTTGGTTTTCTTTTCACAGCCCCGGAAGAACGAGGCACGAGGCCGCGTCGGCCATTTCCGGCAACGATTCGACGCGATCCAAGCCCGCCATCGAGCTCGTCTCCCAGGCCACTTCCAGCTCGATTCCACCGCCACAATTACTTCCTGGCAGCCCACCGCCGGTTCCTTCGCAAGAACTAGGACAAGGCGGCGGCGACGAGCTTCCTCTTCTTCCTCCATCGATTGCTCCCTCGCCGACGCAAGAAATTTCTCTTCCGGAGAAGAATTTGACACAGGAAAGATCGGATTTCAATGCTTCCGCTCTTGCCAATTTGGATCGCAAAGTCGTCAGGAAACGCGAGGTCGGTGGATTTCCTCTTTTTTTCTTCTTCCTTCGTGTGCGTTCTTCCGCTGCATGGATTCATGCTCCAAACTCGTTGGATTTTTTCCTTTCGAAGTTTTCGATTTTGTCGAGGTCCGAGTAATTACTAATCTCTGGCTGGATCTCGAATTGGATCTCTTGGGGTCGAATCACATTGCGTCTCGTGGTTCGCTTCTCAGTCCCGAATTTAACTCTTTGGTTTCGGTCATGTAGATACCGCAATGGCGTGTGATTCTGGAAGAGGATCTTCGTCGCGCGAAGCAAGAGATCAAGGTCGCAGGGCCACGGAACACGCAGCTGGATCCACAAGCCACCCGATCCATCTACCTCAATGCCTACAAATTCCACAAGTACGTTCATTCTTTCTCCTTCTTCGTGCAAATTTTTTCGTGCCTGTTTTCGAGAGTGACACTGACAGTCACTGGAAGAACCAGAGTTTGAGTTAGTTTGTAAGTTGGCCAGTTCGTTCCACCACAGTTTGCATGGATGATACATTGTCTCCGCAAGTTGCCTGGAATGCTTTCTTTGTGGTTTTTGGTTTTCCTGGAGTTTTTTTCTCTTCCAGTACGTAGAGTTTGTTGAGCTGTTATGCTTGCCCTGTCCCGTTCGCTCGCTCGTGCCATTGTTTTATTCTCTTAATGCTCGTACGAGTTTCCAGTGTAACTTCTTCGCTGTTTAAGCTCTTGCTTAATGAGTTTTCCTTACTTCTTTGCGAATTCGTGGCAGCGACTGACTTGGTTCGTCTGTTTCAATCGCAGGAGCTACGAACTCATGGAGAGATTGTTCAAAGTGTACGTATACAAGGAAGGGGAGCCTCGGCTCGTCCACAAGGGACCTTTGACGGGGATTTACTCCTCCGAGGGGCGATTCATTCACGAGATGAACCAAAACAGCCGCTTTGTCACGCACGATCCGCAAGAGGCCCACATGTTTTTTCTTCCGTATAGCGTTGCTCACATGGTTCTCGACCTCTACGTTCCAGGCTCGCACAGCATGCTGCCGCTCGCCACTTTCATCAAGGACTACGTCAATCTCATCGCCAGCAAGCACCCGTTTTGGAACCTGACCCGTGGCTCCGATCACTTCTTCGCCTCCTGCCATGACTGGGTACGCAGTTTTCTATTTCTTAGGAAAAAAACTGAGATGGTGCATCTTTGGTGGGGCTTGCAGTCTTATCGTCTAGCTAGCACTTAATGAGAATGGTTCGTTTTTGCATTTAGTGGTCTGTCTGTCTTTCATTTGTTTGAGCATAAAGTCTCTCCTCCATGATTTTTTTTTTCCTGTTCATGTGGAGAATATCATGCTAGCACTTCTTTGGGTATGATTGTCGGATTAAACTACTTGCATTCTCTTTTTTGTTCCTGGGCTAAAGTTTGTACCCAACACGGTTTGTTCTCCTTTCCACGGGAACTTTCCTGTGCTACATGAAAATTTCATGCTTTGCGCCCGCGGAAAGTGTGGTGGAATTCCAGCTTACCCGAATGAGTGGAAGTGTCACATAATTTCTGTGCTTTTTGATTGTGCCGAACACTTGTCTGATTAAAGTCTTCGTACTATTTCTGACCTGTGCTCCTTTCAGGGCCCCGCAACAGCCCGAGACCACCCGGAGCTCCGCAAAAACTCCGTCAAAGTGGTGTGCAACTCGGACCTCACGGAGGAGTTCGTGCCGGACAAGGACGCGTCGCTGCCCGAGACGTATCTCCATGCGGTAAAGCTTCCGACCAAGCTCGGGGGCCCGGGGCCGAGCAAACGGCCCATCCTGGCCTTCTTCGCGGGTCAGATGCACGGGAGAGTCCGGCCGGCACTGATCAAGCACTGGAAAGACCGAGGAGACCCCGACATGAGAATCTACGAGGTGCTCCCACCCGACGTGGCGCGGCGGACGAGCTACGTCCAGCACATGAAGAGCAGCAAGTTTTGCATCTGCGCCATGGGATTCGAGGTGAACAGCCCCAGGATCGTGGAGTCGATATACTACGACTGCGTGCCGGTGCTGATCGCCGACAACTTCGTGCTGCCATTCAGCGACGTTCTCAACTGGGGATCCTTCTCGCTCACGGTGAGCGAGAAGGACGTTCCCCGGCTCAAGGAACTGCTACTGGCGGTGTCCGAGGATCGGTACCGAAAGATGCAGAGCCGGCTCAAGAAGGTGAGGAAGCATTTCTTGTGGCACGACAGCGCGGAGAGGTTTGATATGTTTCATATGATCTTGCACTCGGTTTGGACGAGGAGGCTGCAGCAGATGGATGCGATTATCGGTCATGAGACGTCCATGGTTTGAGGTGATAGAACAATGGTTTTGGAAGAGAATCTACCTTGTGTGCATACTTTTTTCACGAATAAAATTCATTTCATGGTATGAGCAAGTTAAGATATAAACAAATATAATCTATATTTGTAAGCTTAGGGTTTGGCAAGATGCGTGGTGAGCAAGTCTTGTGGGTGGTGGTCGAAAACGTGGGGTTGGATCATCTCTGCGTTGGGCTTGGCCACCTTCACCAGGAATGCCCAGAACTCTTTTCAGATGAGCTGATTGATTTGATTATTGACAAGGCACCACTGATAAAGGTATCAGTTTTCCACATGCTCATTGGGAAAAGGCGCAGTAACACTGTGGTCCGAAGGTTTCTTGATGCCAAGTTTGCAAACGATGCTCTGAACTCACTTGACCAGGCGTGTGATCAGGAGACTTTCACCAGAGTACTTGCATATCCTTTTGAGAGGCCTCCCCCTCCTAAGGGCAAGC